TCGCCTCCTCCGTTTCGCAGAGGCGATTGCAATTAACCGGATTAAGCCGATGCTTTGTGTTCAGAAACAATTATCGGTCAGCATTAGACTGCCCTGGGGATAGGGGTGATAACCCTATCTCACTTATCACGTGTTGGTCTATTTGTCTGTTTGTATGTATGTTTGGTCGCACCCTTCACTGAATAAATATTATTGCGAGTTATTGTTAAAGGCACTGACGAGACAATACGAAATGCGTGCATTTGCCAGTCTTCGTCTTCTTACTGCGCTTTTCAAATTACTAAAGGGAACTAACTGTTTCAAATCTTGTGATATTGTAGTTTTACCCATATTATGCTGCAAGACTTGTCAATCAACTGCATTTTACCCGTGGTAAATCATTGCTCATCGTTCAGAAAACGAAAAATCCAAGTAAGGAATAATCGGTCAGTTTGTGCATCACTGGAAGTTATCTATAACAGAAACATTCCCAATTTAACTTTGCCTCATGTACATTGGTCTAATAGCGCTATGTTCCTCCCATTCCCGCCACTCATTTTTGGAGTCAGATGGAAATTTCACCAACCCGTCTAGCTGAAAACAACATTCCACTGAGTTATTTCATTGATTTATTTGCAAACAAAACGGACCGGTCAAGCTGAACTCCATCTTGAACATCGCATCAGAAATTGGAAATTACACACTGATTTTCACGCTTAGTTCGAGCAATCCGGATCACCTAGTTCTCAGTCATGATATTCAACTAAATAATTCAAGTCACTAAGTAGTAAAGCGTGGCTCCGTTGAGAAGCCAATAGGCTGGAATTTCAGTCAGCAACACCCACCCAGTCTTTTCAAAGCTCAGTCGTCTATGGCTCCATTTTCCACCGTCTGTGAGAATATATTCGCCTCGTCTTCTGCGTCGTTGCTACGCGAACTACTTGGCAACTCGTACCACTCGAACTGTGGAAGGGCGCAACCAATGGTGCCGACAATACATGAAAAATGTACTATCAGCGATTCAGGTTAGGGTGTTAATAACATGTAAACACCTGTAACTTTGTGTCCCTTCTGTTTCTCAGGATGGAATAGGCATAGTTTATCCCAAATGTCGCTAAGCGGCAACCTTTTTCTAAACCTACCAGACCCCATCGACCTCCTCCCAGTAATGAGCTACGTTTGACACAGAAACCTTCACAGATGTTGGTCGACAATGGAGATCAACCTGAGTTATGAACAGACCCCAAATCGTGCACAAATTATGAAAGCTTAACAGTGAAAATTGTACCTAGGTGTCCCAACTACACCGGCAGACATCCCAAAACGAACTGCTGTTACTAAGCCTGATGAAACTACCTCAATTCTCACTTTAAACGATAGCAGAAGACGGTGACTGTTGACATCGAAGTTTCTACTCAATGCGGGCGTGACCAACATTTAGCGAGCAAGCAAACGAGTAGATGACCAAAGAGCACTGCTAGGTGATCTCGAGAAAGCTTACGAGTAGTCGACCCAAAAGGTGATTGAGTTTAAAATTGTCAGATGCGAAATAATGAGCGTAGGCCACCAGATCACCTAACAATATTGACTGGGAAGCACGTCTTGCAGTGCTCTTTTCACGAGAGCGATCTTGGGGTGCGCGTGCAGTGAGATCTCAGATGCTCAAAGAAGGCCGAGGTGGAAGTAAAAAAAAACCAATCAACACTTGAATCCACTGTAAAGGGCTTTTGGCCGGTTCGATCCCACCTTCTTTCCGCAAATGCTGAACGCTTACGTGAGACCACACGTTGAATACGCCATTTAGGTGTGGCACCCCCTGACAAAAACATGACCCCAAAAGCATGACCACAACAGTGATCGACAAAAATGTTATTCGTTCGCTCCACCTTCCTTACTGGATCATTTGCTCCTGTTAGCCTCAAGCATTGTGCAGATTATCTGGAACGGCCTCTCGCCGACTTGTTCACATTGTGCTTCAGGCAACAGAGGATAGTTGATAGTTTTCAAAGTACACCAGGCCGGTTCAAAGCAAAGGGATTTACAAAGTCGGTCATTACCACGCACTTCGTTTGCTTTGAAGACTTGTGTGAGGCTTCTTCTTAACAGGATCCTAACCTAGACGCATTCGGATGACGCATCAGTTTGCAGTAGCTCAAGGTAGGATGGTTGGGTAATAAAAACAGATTCATCCGCACCTGCTTCCTGGGATTTAGCAATGCTTTCGGCTGTGAACCGGAAACTGCTGTTGCTGCTGTTTGGTTCTGGAGTTCAAATTTTGTTGTTCTTCTGTTGTATGAGTATTTTACCAAGCATCTCCATTTTACTAGGTTTGGGGGGATACTTTTTAGCTCCTCGCGAATCCTTGTGTTCTTCAGGGACCCGTTTTGTTTTTACTTACTTTAGCTCAATCTCAGTTCATGAGGAAGCCATTCTGCAAGAAGTATACGGACGATGTAATTCTTTGCGTTCACCATATAGCATAGATCATCTGACAAACTAAACGTTTTCCAAACAACCTCATATTTTTGTCCAAATCTCGCCGTCTACCATTGAACACCACAAAATGTATTGAGGTCCTTTTCTCTCTGTTAAAAGGAAATCGAAACCAACAAACCCTAACGCAGTGTTGGTAGCTTTGTATTGACGGTGAAATCTGACCTCTCCCACTTCAGTAAAATTGCTGGGAGTGACACTGAGCAGTGGGTTTACCTGGTCTTTGCATGTAAACGAAATATTCACTAAACTTAGAAGACTCTCATTCTATGTTACACTCCTCTTTACACTCCTTCCGTACGCCGTTTTTTGATCCAGCTTTTTATCTCTGAATGTGTTGCCCTACTGGACCTATTGCTTTCCCGCGATCTTTCCTGATCTCCTGCATAAGGACCTCAAAGTAGTTGTCAGATCAGTGAAGTACCCATCCCAGTGTAGTGCTATTTCAAGGCCGGACCTTGTTAGCATCATTGCATTCAGCCATACCCAGTTCCGTAACATGCTCCTATTTAAAATACTAATGTTAGCCAACCATTCCACAAGACGTTGTTTGAATGTATATCAACCCCCTCGACCAGACAAAGCCGCAAGAATATATAGGCCCGCATATGAGCTTATGGTGTGTTGGTAGTTCCTTGCTTGTCACGTATTTTGACTGATAAAAATCACTCATATAAGAACTGGTAAATTTCTTCAGTGATATTGACTCTGTCAACTTTTGTATCCGTCCTCATGTACCATTATATTTCATTATTTATCCCTGTATATGGCGTGTGTATTGCAGCTGAATATTCGCCTTTCATTGGTACAGAAAGCACATCTTTGACTGACCGACTGAATTATTTTCGTGCACATAGATGGCGACTTCTACCAGGTCGCCACCGATCCCCACCTGACTGGCTACTCTCCCCCAACTAACAAATGTGATTGTTTCGGTGGCAGCGAGCTCAACACCCGATGTTACTTCAACCCCTATAATCTTCGACTGACCCTGGGTGTTCTTTGTCTTTGTTCATCCACTTACAGTTAAGATCCATTTGTGGCTGGAGTTCCACACTCCATAGAAACGAAAGATCGGTGGCATCAAAATTATCTATAAGCTTAGTGAAAAAGAACAACCCCGACCATATCGTCGCGAGAAGATTGTCGTCACTTGTGCATTGTAACAATATTAGAATTTTATTTATCATCTGGCTAAGTACATGACACACGGTCACCAGTGAACATTAGTCACACTGATTCATAAAATATTGTATACTCTTTGGTATTTGCTGTTTGAGCCCGTCAACAACGGTCCGCCTAACTATGGACATTTAAGTGGATGACATCTGGTTCTTTGGCTTCGATGTTTGTGGGGAAGCAAGCTAGCTTTTACCAAGCAAGGACTTTGAAAGACTAAACTATTTTCTTCAGAAATCACCAAGGTAATTGTAATCGCTCAACTAACTCATCATCGTCACTCCCAATCAACAGGCTTACGCTAGTCTGGAAAAGCACCAGACGCCTGGGTTTCGACTAACAGTTTACCACAAGATATTGGTTACCGAGATCACCTCATGTTTGTTTTGAAAGAGGATTCCACAGCTTTCCTCTATAAAGGTTTACCTTCTGTCTCCAGTCGTAATTTTTCTGTTATTTATCAGAAAGCAGCATATATACTTAGACTAGGTGCGGTCAGACGCTCACACATCTGCCGCCTTGACAACTGTTAACTCAGAAGAAATATGTATTCTTAGATTCTGCAATTCTTACAAATGCATCGTTGCTGCTTTCACATGCATTGTTATATGATTGTTCTGCACCTATTTAGCCAATTCACATGTAGCAACCGAACCTACCAACCCAAAATAAGTTGGCATAACAATATAAGCTTCACTCGTATATAAGAGTGTTATTATTTCAACCAATATGCTTATGTGAGTTTTTAGGCGGCTGACTGAGGCATCGTTAACATCGCCTACTCACTTAACTAAGGTAGCGCTTGTGGGTTTGAAGACAATCGGATCGCTGAGCAACGCGTTATTCATTAGAGAAACATCAAAGCGCAAGAACCGGATTAAACTAGTATACCAGTTAGTACAAACTGCGGTAACAAATCGAAAATAAACTTCGACAATTTTCTCAATTCCAGAAATCCACAGTCAAATGTAGAACGAGAAAAATAACTAAAACTCGTTACGATCAGTACCTATGCGGGATACGCAAATTTCACACTTCCTAGTCAGGGTTTATTTGAAAATCAAAACATGGGATGCGGTACAGGCGCAGTCCAACACCCATTATACTTTTATGTCGGATACATCTTGAGTGGTCGAGCAACCTGGAATTACTGTGAGTAGAAGGCCCAGTAATGATGATTATGCGTCGCAACTCGACACACACAGTTGGCACACTGCAAAACCAAATTGTGAACTGTTAACAGTTTTGTTACTCGTTAGTGGTTGAGCTTGGTAGCCTAGCAGTAATGCACTTAAAAGAAAATACTCATACATTGCTTTAGAATTATATCTCTAGCTAGTACTGCTTACCTGATTTAAAAGCAGTTGTATAGCGCCGGATTGATGGCGAAAGTTATCAAACTTCTGTGTCCACAGAGGATTCGAACCTTGCCACAAAGCCTCAGAGTTTTCGTCATATGTACGGACACTTCCACTGTTAATTTCTCGCCTGATTTGGTCTGCTTCAGATGTCTGCGTTGTGACTGGGTGGTCGATGTGCACATTAATATTATCGAGTTCTTAGCAATAGATTTGGTCAGAGATTTCATTGAAAGTTAGCAGCCCGATGCAAGCGGTAAATTTTCTTCCGAGATTTTAGCTCACTGCTTCCATTCATCACATGGTGATCTGTCAAATTTGTAATTTGTTTCCTTTCACTCTTAACATTTCTAATACGATATTTTTGCAGATTATATTATCCTAACTCTTGCTTAAATTATCACCCAACGAAAATCACTTGTATGATGTGTAATGGCCCAACAAGATTTTAATTGACGTATCTTCCACCTCGCTTTCCTTTTTTGTAATTTCGCAATTTCCACCCAAGTTGTATTTTTCACATCGGCATTAATGCAATGTAATAAAAAGTGCACACTTATTTACGTAGCAAAATCAGTTTAAATTAAGTTCACTTGACCTTAATTTTTTGACCCAATTTTACCCGTCCTCGGGTTACATTTGGCATAAATTATGCCCCGATAAACAGTGACACAAGTTAGAAGCCAGATGGGAGAATCGCTACACGCAGCACACTCCTCCGATTTTACAGTTGTTTATGTCTCTCAGCGTCCAAATTGTTCATATCGCCGCCAGCGAGGAAACCCTAGACTTGAAACAAAACTCTGGCCAGTCCATACATGTGGAAAACTATTAACCAGCAGTTGTTCATGCATTAATTGCTCAATCATCGAGAAAACTGACTACCATACCTGGATTTTATGCAAATGCGATAACCGAGACGACGCTGTCTGATCCGAGGTTGTTATGGTGGTCTACCTCTCTTGTCTACTTCTTTCATGCGTACCATAAAATTAATCGTGGCTAAACGTAGTGTGCACAACGCATCGAAACACGATCGCCCAATGAAACGCGTGTGTAGGTTACGCTACCGCAGTCTAATCGCCAGACAGTTTTTGTTCCTATTATCGCATCACCTTCTCTCACCATCACAGCATGACTTTCTGAAGTCCCGATCGTGTGCTACCTGTCAAGTTGACTTGCTTAACCGTCTAACTGAAGCAACTGATTCAGGTCTTCAGTGCATTTGCATCTTCCTTGGACGCGAAATGTGTTCAACAGAGATACACGCTTCTGGTTAACAAAGTAGGTATGGTATAACAAATCCGCCTCTCCCTTGGCTTCAATGGTACTTGGTAGGATAATTGCAAGATGTGAAGATAATTGGTAACATCGCTTCACGTTGCAGGGTCACCATTAGAGCGGTACTGAGCAGTCTTCTAGGTCCGTTGCTCTTCCTACTGTCTGTGACTTACCTTTCCTCATTTCCAAAAGTTGACAAGCCTTCTTTGTTTGTTGACGATTCAAAGGTTCTTAACATGTACCCAAAATCTTATTCTACTGCTGAACTTGACACTATGTGGAGCGACTTGAAAGCCATTGAGAGATAGGCTGACATTTGGTACATGACGTATGCTGGCGTATGGATGCCAGATAAAAGCAGAAATGTTCATGCTTCATGATGAAGTCATTCCCTTCAGCTAGTCTGTTCGCGACTTAGGTTTGAGATACTCTAGCTTGTTAAACCTTACCGCACATAAGCATAATATGGAGAAAAGTGCTAACCAATCGGTCGGGCTCATATGCTACCTGCTAATCTTCATGGAAATCAGACTAATTGCTTTCAAAATCAATATCAAACCTTTACTGGAATATTCCAGTGTTACGTACAGCAACCTGCGAAAGTGTGATTTGAGAAGCAGTGAAAATGATCAACGCACGTTTACAAAGCGTATTTTGATTATTCAACTGCTTTCATATAGAGATAAATGCGACGAGTTGAAACTTGAGACTTAGTTGTTGCGAAGAATGCAAGTAAATCTGTGCTTCCTTCACAAACTCGCGTGGCAGAAAGGATATGTTGGAACCTATTTGTTACAGTTTCAGAAAAATACCACTTATGAGCTGTGAGATAGTGAATGTATAATCTCTAAACCTAAATTCAGGACCAGCCTAAGGATTTTCTACATTCTTAGGTAGAAATAAGCTGCCAATAAAACTGCTTGAGCATTTTTGCGTGTTCAAGAAGAAAAACGTAGATTTATTTATCAACTGACAGAGTGAAGTACATTATAAAAATTCAAATTTATGATGCAAGCTGTATGAAGAAAAATCGGATCATGTAATAGCAGAGAACAGCGACTGGAAACATGTCCAACAAGTGCACCAGCGCAAATTTAATCATCTCGAGACTCTTCAACGAAGGGCAACCAAGAATGTCAGGGGCCTCTTTCATCTGCCCTATCAGCTTAGACTGAAATCTCTAAAAATGTACAGCAGTCGATATCGGCTTTGGCGGGGGGGATCTCATAATTGTTTACCAGATTCTGAAGAACCCAAACCACATTTGCCGTTCGCTGCTGGAATTGAACCACAACACTAAACTAAGAGGTCACCCTCTGAAACTGACAATTCAGTATAGCCGGCTTGAATGCCGTAGAAATTTCTTTTCCTTCCGCGTGTGACAACCTTGGAACGCCGTCACTATTTATGTCGTCTCTGCTCCCAATCTGGCGATATTTAAAAAGAGGTGTTGACGATGCATTGTCTCACTTACATTTCATTTTATGACTTGTTAGCCAGGGGCTACAAAACGCAATCAAACGGTGTCTTGCCAAACGCCTAACCAATGGATTTATGGATTTATATGTTTAATACGCGAACAGTCTCCGCTATTCCGCATAAGTCTATGGTGAGTCCACCACAACGCCTTTCACTTTATCATGCAATTGATTTTCACAATAATTTCCATCCTACGGGACTTGTTAAGCAACGCTTTTTTACCTGTAATAAACCATTGTTCCATTGTTCCATCTAAGTGAGCTGTTACAACCGCCTTGCATACTATTAAATAAGTAAACAAATAAATAACTAATCGGTTTATACTTCGACGATGAGAAGTACAGTCCAACTGAGTGGCCTGATCAAGCTGTACAATGAGAGCGCCTAAGTTAGTTAATTGTGCTTGTCTTGTATAACGAATCCCGAATGGGTTTCGGAAGTGATTGGCAACATGAGGGTATCCGCCTGACTAAGAACAGGGGAAGATTAATAAACGCAGATTTAACCAAAAGTTCAATTAAATTAATACGTCCAATCATGGAACCGTCCCCAGGGGACCTGTTTTCAGTTGGGGTATTCCCTCGATGGGTTTCTCCCGCAGTTCCTTGCTCTAACTAGCTGTGTGCCGGTGTGGCAAAATAGCATGTAAGCCAACATCTGTTTCACAAATGTATTTTGTGAGGGCTGTTTTATTCATGTATTATGGGTGATGAAGCCTCAGCCCGTTCCGACATGCGGATCATTCAAGTATGGCATATTTTTGTTATACGCCAATGAGTCGATGGCTGTACGCCATTCATGGGTATAATATTTCTTTTAGCTTGGAAGCTGAAATCCGTCACCTTAAGAGAACAGACCACTTTTGCTCCACAACAAAGTAAGGCGGAATATAAAGTATCAGGAATTAAAAAGCAAAGTACTAATAACTACCTTTTGCAGATAGGCCAATCACAAGTTCATGGGAAGTCTTGGTGAATAACGACGATGCTACGGAAAATACGAGAGAAAAAAAATGTTTCGTTCTAGCCAGGGTTTCACAAGGAACAAAGAGTAGTAAAGATAATCCAACTGCGGTTGATAGCATATCTGCAGTGGTGGTTGCTTTATCCAAAAAGACAAACAATTGAAATCAGCAGAATTTGAAGACAATCAGTTCATTAATTTCAGACCATCAATCGCAAAGAATCTAACCGTTACTTGTCGCTCAGTGGAAACATGAAAAACAAATATGAGAAATGCAGAAGAGTATAGAAACTCAAAACACAGTAGGTTTCTAGTGATAGTTGAAAAGAACTGATAGACCAATCACCTTCAACTAATGGTTGCCGTGATCTTTTTGTTGCAAATATGACCCGGTCCTTCATCAAGCAATCTATCGTCGTTCATTTGCAATATTAAAGTATTCATTACTTTTACTGGTGCCAGGAAAATCCTAATCATTTTGTTGAATATGCTCAAGCTTTTTGTACGTCGTATACAACTAGGCAGTTTGTTCCATATCAGGCTGAACGTTATAAAACATACGTTCTGTCTAACTGTGGTCGTAAATGGAGGTGCAACAAGTGTACATTCGGTGTCGCGTATTTCATATCTGTTTTCTAACTGAAACTGCAAATAGCTGTGTTCATTGTTCACGTTAGGCCACTCAACTTTGAGAAGGAAAATAACATTTGAATGTATTATACGGAGTTATAAATGCTCCAGTTTTAACTCACTACATCTATCTTTATAAGGAACAAGTGTAGAGTAACCAAAGATGCGTTTGGTGAAAGCGTGTTGAACATTTTCTATGGCCTTAAGTCACCTGTATGTAAATTACTGAATATAACGCGACAGTATCCTAACAAGTCTCTTACATCGACTTTTATACGAAGTTTTACTTCATTCAAAGTTACTTCTTACCAACAGCCTTCTAAAATCAAGAGCCAAAATTATTTACTGGGATTAGAACAGGAAATCTCCGCTTAATTCCACTACAAAATGATTAATGCATAATAGTTGTTTTACGATTCGCTTTGCTACGGTTGTTCTGTAATGCTAACTATTCCAGTGGCGGAGCTGTACACTATCGGGCGCGTCCCCTGGTTGCAGTTCGGGAAATGCCTTCCTTATGGAGGTAACTGCGAATAAGTTTCGTCTGCGCTGCAGGCGAGATGAATAAGCAATTGCAGACAATCAGCGGCAGCGTTGCAGAGCTTGAGGAGTTCTGGGCTGGTCACCTTGTTCTCCATTAACTACCACAAGTGCTCGTACGGTTCTGTGTCAAAGCTAATGTGACCGGCTATAGGGTCACTGACCACTCACTTCTGTAACTGGAGGCATGTATCTAACGGAGGACGGATGAACAACTTTGCTGGCCACCGGCTTCTCTGTGGACTGCTTCCCAAGACAAGGAAGGCGATGAGCCACCTGGCTGTCAACGGTCTTAGTGAATCGTCCCGCCGCCTCGCGGGCCAAGTCTTCAAGATCAAAGGCTCGGGGTGGGGCCCCTCAAGTCAACCCGATTCCTCGGTATGGGTACCCGGGAAGCTCTCTGTCTACCCAGCATATGGGAGTTTGTATTCTTTCCTCTGACTCTTTTTCCTCCTTTCGTCATTGTTACTCATGTGTTGTGGCACCCAACCAAATGTTTATTGGGCAAGTATTAAATAATATATAAAATAACAAAACTATTTCCTCCTCTTTTCCGGAGTTAACAGTCCCGAAATACATACCGAATTTTCGTACTTGGCGATATCGGTTTCCCTATTTTACGAATACCTGTATTAATAATGATGCCAAAAATTCGTTTTAGTGCCTTTTTGCCTATGGACAACTCGTGCAGTTATCTGTCTTCGGCTGTCATGTCGCACAATTTGACCGTAGGATGTATTCGAACCGTTTTGGATTGTTGTAAAACATGTTATTCTCTTGTATAGGCATCACCGTTAGTATACTTAGTATATGTAATCTTTCACATTCGAATTCTTCCTTATTTCATCGTTGGCCACGTGTAAGCTGACCCCCTGAGGTGACGGATTAAAGCTCCCAAACTAAAAAAGTATACCAATTCAAGCCGCATTTCCACCGACTGACTAAGGTATAAAGTAGTGTCATACTTGCATGATTCGCATGACGGGACGGACTGAGGCTTCATCTTCCACAAAGCAGCCCCAAAAAGGAAACACGTACTAAAACGTGATGGATTATTTGCTACTTTGCCACACCGGCGCACGGCCAGACAGGGGCATGGAAATGCTGCTGAAACCTTTCGAGAAAATGTCTTGCACGGAAGCAGACCGTCTGGTCGCATTTCTTTACGTGAACGTGTGGTTATATCTGCATTTGTTATTGTTCCCAATCAATTTAAAATGGTGTTTTCCATCCACTGTATAAATGGTGAACAGTCACTTATTTTATGCCCTTGCTCTACGTATTGATCAGACTACATCAGAACTGACTTATTCATAGTTACTATTACTATCCCTCTTTAGACCTATGAGCAGATCATTTGGTCTGTACTAACCGTTGAAAGGAGTAGGGTATTCGCGCTGTCGATCGAATAAGCAATACCCAGATCGAGTCAGGGCCATTGGAGAAACTGAAGCACCTCATCCTTTTCAGGTGATCGATGCACGCAAGGTCACAGAGCCGTCGTGCGACAGAGAGGCACGTGACTATGAGAGCCGCAACCAAGTCCCCTTTGCTTACTTAATGTTAGAGGTTTGTGAGTAGGGTAAAGTCCGTAGTAGAAGTCACGATTAAAACTCACACACAATAATGTGCCTCGACGGGGAGTCGAACTCCGGCCCAACGAATTTCCGGTCCGGGTCGACTCCCCGTCGGGGCACATTATTGTGTGTGAGTTTTAATCGTGACTTTTACTTTATGCGAACTTATTTCAATGTATTGCTGTAACCGGATTAGTTCCCATCCGACTCAAATTCCTCCGGCTTTTCCACCGTAATTAACTAAACAGTAAGTGCGCATACCCATAGTAGTCATATGCACATGAAGCACAATTATTTCATCACGTCATTTTATGCGTATGCCACAACAGGCTCGGATCGAACTCTACTGGTACGCAACACAAACTTCTATCCACGCCAACGGTACATACACTCAGTACATTCAAAACAACCCTGGTATTGATCGCGAACGGACGGGCATCCAATCACAAGCTACGAAGTGCGGTCGTGGTAAGGCCCGCGCGTACGCGCTGCCACACTACCCCCCCTCTTCAGCGGTTGGTTCACTGCGGTGGCCCTCGCTTCAGGACACTGCTTCGGTTGAAGTGCTGAATAAAGCTGTCTGGCGTTGACTCGTCGGCCGTCTGCTAACTTACAAGTTCCTGGCCCTAGCGCACGAGTAATTCTGATGGGTCTCGTCAGTGCCGGTTCTCCTTTCCGTGTTTGCCTCTCCTTTATCCTGACCAACGTTCCAGGACGCAGCGATGTGGCCCGTTTTTCGTAGGATGACTGATAACCCCGGCGACGTTCCAGTTGGTGGGGGTCGTTGTTTTCTGCAGCCGAAATAGCTGCGTTTAATTTCGTACGCAACTTCCTGCCAAACATCAGCTCACCTGGCGTGCGATCAGTCGCTCTGTGGTGCGATGTTCGGTGAGTAAACAGAGCCTCCAAAACGGCATCTTCCCACTGCCTGCCGGACAAACGTGCTGTCTGTATAGTTTCCTTTAGCGTGCGATTAGTGCGCTCAACCATGCCGTTGGCAGCTGGGTTGTACGGGACAGTATGTACGTGCTTCACATCACGAAGTTGTAAGAAACGTTTAAACTCATAGTTCGTGAATTGTGGTCCGTTGTCTGTCACAATTTCCTCAGGAAACCCAAATCTAGCAAACAGATGTTTCAGCCACCGTATAACGGTTGAGGTGGTCACATCGCCACACAAATGGATTTCCGGCCACTTACTGTAATAGCACGTGGCAACTAAGCAGTTCCTCTGGTGCTGTGGCGCAGAATGAAACGGTCCCATGATGTCAATCGCCACCTTCGACCAAGGTTTCATTGGATAAGTAACAGGTTGGATGGGGGCATCGATTGGTTTGGAGCTCTTGTCGGCCTTCTGACATGCATCGCAAGACCGGACACACGCCTCTGCCATTTTATTCATTTTTGGCCACCAAAAGTATTCTTGAAGTCGGCGCTTCGTCCGTACGATACCCGGATGTCCCTCGTGTGCACATTGGATAATTTTTGATGTCAGTTTCTGTGGAGCTACGAATCGCGATCCTCGCATAAGGCAATCATCAACGACCGCTAGCTCATGTCGTAAAACATAAAACGCCCGTAGTTCACCACTCAACTTCGCGTAGCGAGGCCAGCCTTGAGAGAGATAGTGAATGACATCTTGCACATATGAATCACTCCGGTTAGCTTCTTGAAGCTCTTGTTTAGTAACCGCGGAGAGCTCACTTGATTGTAAAGCAGAAATCATGACTTTTTCTTCGTCGTCTTCATTCTTGTCGGAATCATCCAATGGGAGACGTGATAAGCTATCTGCCATACGGTTCTCGGAGCTAGGGCGGAAGATGATTTGAAAATCATAGTTCAGTAACCGCGCATACCAGCGGTTAATCCGTAGTGGCCTGTGACCATTGGTTCCTCGGCTGAGGAGGGTAGTTAGAGCAGCATGATCCGTGCGCAATGTAAATCTCCGACCAAACAGAAACAGGTGCCATTTTTCACAGGCCCATACACAGGCAAGGGCCTCCCTTTCACCTGCGGAATATGAAACTTCAGTAGGGGATAACTTTCTAGAAGCATATGCAATCACTTTTTCCTCACCGTTCTGAATTTGAGACAAGACCGCTCCTAAACCGATGTTTGACGCATCCGTTGAGACGAATGTTGGGCAGTTTTCGTCGAAAATGGCCAGCATTGGGGTGGAGACGAGGCGTCTTTTAATTTCTTCAAAGGCCGACTGCTGCGAAGAGCCCCAATCGAACGTAGCTTTTTCTTTTGTCAGCATTCTCAATGGCTCCGCTATAGTTGCAAAATCGGGCAAATAGCGCAAGTTGTACGAGCATAAACCAAGAAAGTGCTTAACCTCGGATGTATTCTTCGGTACAGGGGCTTCCGTGATAGCTCGAGTATTAGCTGCGCATGGCCTAATTCCACCAGCTGATAAGACGTACCCAAGAAACTCGACATCCGTAGCACAAAATATACACTTTTCCAGGTTTAGCCGAAGATCTAGGCTCTCCAATCGCTGCAACACAGCGCGCAGCCTTGAGTCGTGCTCATCTCTTGATTTCCCGAAAACGCATATATCATCCATGTAAGCGATTTGTCCCGGTAGATCTGCTAGTGAGTGATTCATAAACTTCTGCCAAGCTGCTGGAGCGGAGCTAAGTCCCATCGGCAAGACTTTGTACTGGAATAGACCACTCGATGTCAGAAAAGCCGTAAGTGGTCTGGATTCTGGTGTCAATGGCATGTGGAAAAAGGCCTTCCTCAGGTCTAGTTTTGAGAAAAATCGCGCGCCAGTTATCTTGACCAACAACTCGTCAACTGTGGGAAGAACGAATTTTTCGACGACGATCTGACTGTTCAACGCTTTCAAGTCGTTGCATATGCGCACAGTACCGTCCTTCTTTAACACCGTGACCATGGGATGCACCCATTCGGAACAGTTAACTGGCTCTATCAAATCGTTGGAAATCATCTCTTGTATGGCCTTTTCTACCATCGTACGTTTGGCCAATGGAATAGGACGTGGCTGCGAAATCGAAAACGGTTTAGCGTCCTTTTTAAGGCATATTCGATGAGCAGCAGATGGAATCCGGCCAATCGACTCAGTAAATAATTTGGGATATAAGCTTTTAAGTACTGATGTTTTGAGTGTCATGATGCGCATTCGCTCGATAGATGGTGTTATGTTGAGGGCAACCATAGCATTTCGCCCCAGCAAGGCTGGACTGTCTTCGGAGGCAACATACACAGCAACATCAGATGCGACTGAGAGTAAACTGAGTTTCGTCATTATATATCCCCGAATTTGCACACGTGAATTTGTGTACGATTCGAATTTATACGACGTAGGATGTAATGGAATGTCTTGCAGGTAATTGTCGTAAATGCTGGACGGGATAATTGTTATCGGCGATGCCGAGTCTAGCTCCATAGTCACTGGTACAGAAGTGTTAAGCACATGGAGTGTAACGGTACGTATGTCAAGAGCAGGGAGCTTGGATTCCAGCGAAGCAATTCGTCGTGTTTCTGGTTGTAATCGTCTTTTGATAGAAAAAACATTCGGTGTAGTCGGTGAGGTGGAAACATCATTTTGTTGGTCAATTAACGCGACTCGACGCGAGCGGCAGCACCTGGCGAAGTGGCCCAGTTTACCACAGCTTTTACACTCAGCTGTACGAGCCGGACATGTTGGACGGTCAGCTTTGTGGCGAGAACTCCCGCATCTATAGCACGAAACAGTCGAATTCTGAGGTTGACTGGAAACCTTGTGCTATATATTACTGACTTCTACTATATCACTCGAATTGAATAGGCTGGAATGTTCAACGGCGGCTTTTATTAGTCTTGCGATCTCTATGGCTCTCTCCCAGGTAAGTTTTGAAGGATCTTCGGAAAGTAGCTTTTCGCATATACGATTATCCTTTATACCGGTTATAAACTGCTGCGTCAGCATAACACTCTTAAGTTTATTCTTCGGGATGCTAGTGTAGTCACAGGTTTTTACAGACCGAATTAAACGAGCGACAAATTGTTCCAGTGGCTCTGCATCTACTTGCCTCCAACAGCAGAACTTGGAGCGTTCAGCGAAAATGTTTGGCCGTGCACCCCATGACTGATCGAGTACATCCAATGCCTTTGTAAGTGTATCGAATTTCTGCAGATCTAACGCATCGAAATAACGTTGACCTTCATTGCCCAACAGGTGACGAAGTAGTTTCAGTTTTTGCTTCTCATCGTAAGTAGTAGTTGCTGGGAGTAGGTCCAAGTAATTCGTGAAAGACGTTCTCCATTGGATCCAATCACTCTCCGTAGGTCTAGTAGCAGGATCGCACCAAAAGGCTTCTGGAGGTAGAAGGTGAAATGCCATTGTAATGGTCCACAGCCCAGACGCCACTGTTGTGTCTACACGTACACTAGTCCCCTGCACGCAGGGTCTTGAACAAGCACGACCAAAGCCCCGAACGAGGAAGCAGAACTCTACTGGTACGCAACACAAACTTCTATTCACGCCAACGGTACATACACTCAGTACACCATTCGTACTTATCGACTCTAATGAGCGACGTGCAGTAGTTTGTGATTGCTTTGTAATTCTGCCATGTGATATCACATGGGCTTAGCGAATGTTGCCTCCAGGTTTCATCTCTTCTGTTGATCCATTTAGGTGTTCTGCTGTTTGCCGTGTTTGCCCCTTATTAGTCTCTTTGGTTTAATTTCAGAAGTTGGCGGCATAGGATCACTTTCAACGAGCTTTGATGACTGCTGTGTACGTTATGCATTTTCAGGACCTGTTGATTGCTTTCCTCAAGGTCGTTCGATGTACGCTGGCTTGAGTCAGTCTGCTAGAATTATATCGAATTTACCATTCCTACTGATCAT